CACAGGGAAAAAGGGAAAGAAAACATATATAAGGTCTGAATTTACAAGTCTGTGTGGAGTTTATTCCACTTGGGGAGGATTATGTGGTACAAGAGATTCTGAGTACCTGGGTAACTGTTATTTCAAAGGTGAGCTATGGGTCACTTGACCTGCAAAGCTGATGAGGAGAAGGGGCACTGGCATCTGTATGCAGTTCAGCCGTAAACAACTGGGAGCAATAATTTCCTAAACTATTGCCACCTAATAAACAGATCTGTCTACACTCTGAAGCAGGTCCCATAAGACCTCTGTAACAGATATTTAGTATTTTCTTTTCAAATAAATGTTTATACATAATCTACTCTGCAGGTTGTTATCGATTACAATATGCCTTGTTATTGTTGAGAAGGATTTATTCGTCTAAACAAATAGATCTGAATAATCTCTCCCATTTTACCTAATCTATATGCTTACAAAGGGGATTTCTCCTGTCTTCCTCACATCTCCTCCAGGAATTAAGTGGGTTTTTTCCAGTTTAGAAGACTTAGAAGTCCCCCAGATTTTAATTTTTTTTTTTTTTTAAATCTGTTAAAATATGTCTCTGCTACTGTAAATAGGCTCATAGGTGAAGATTTTCATGTCTTCTGGGCAGGCTTCTGGGCAACCATCTCTGGGTAGCCCTGCTTGAGCAGGGGCGTTGGACTGGATGACCTCCGGAGGTCCCTGCCAACCTCAACCATTCTGCAATCCTATTATTAATATACTGATAAATAGTATTGAAATTTGTAACAGCTGCTGTGAAGAATGTCTGTAATCTGGTTTGACAGCTTCAGCTCTTCATAGGATAACATGTAGGTAGAGATATGATTTAGCTTTAGAGAATAACATGTACGTAAAGATATGATTTAGCTTGAGAGATTTCCTTCAGAAACTGATTTCATGGGCATTTCACTGATAAAGGCAGAATTTATTAACTGAGACAAATAGCATACTCACAAAAACATTGAAGAAGCCTCTAGATAGCTGAATACTTTATGTATTTTGAAAACACCTCTGGAGTAGCGACTGAAACATGAGAATTACAAAGTAGACCTGAAATAAAGGGTTGCAGATCCGCTATTTCAGCTTACAGATTTACTGCAGAAGATGGCCAGTACCGGAGAGATGCTTATTCTGAGTTTTACCCTAATATTTCAATACGCAGTTGTAAGCTTATTTTAGGGTTTAGGACATGTAATTGTATACCAGTCAATTTCTGATCATTATCGCAGTATCAGAATGGTTCTCAAGTGTTCATTGAATCTGTCGTCTTGAAACAAAGAGTATTTTTATTCCCTTTTTTTTTTCCTGTCTGTGAAACAAAGAGTATTTTTACTCCTATTTTACAAGTGGGAAATTAAGGCAATGAATGATTTAATATTGGGAGTATTTGTGAATTTGGGCATACATCTAGATTCTGATTTCTCTTTTTTCCCAGACGTGTTTTTTTCCACTGTAACTTCAGCTGCAGCTGTAATGCTGATTACTTCTGCAAGTTAGATCCAAAGATCTCAAAAGAAGCACCAGAAAATGAGAAATGTTTAAATAATGGCCAAAAGAGAAAAAACATTGAAGGAACTTGCTAAAGAACTTGTCCATTACCTTTTAGCGATCGTGTGATGTCAGATGTGGAATCACTCCACTTAGCTCTGTACACAGCGGTGGTAGAAAGAGCCTCTGGAAGAGAAATAGTTGCTTTAAATAGTCATGAAACCATCTGCAGCTTTCTGAGATTTGGAAAGAAGTCATTACTCCATATCGCACTATGAATGTCAAAAGAACTTTGTGATTATTTTGGTGGGGTTTTTTTTCCCCTCCTTTTTTTGATTTCCACGAGGCATATCTGTTCCTTAAGGGAAGACAATGAAGCCTTACATCTAGTGGTGCATATTTTTATTCTTCTTTGCATAATTTGTGTAAAGTTAATGGTTGGATTATTTTATTTTTTTTTTAGTTCTCTTTCATCTACAGGTAGTGATTGAAATCTTGAGTGTACTGAGAACAAAAATAAGTGCATTTTTTTATGGTCTCATTGTCTTATTTTTCCTGAAGACTCACATACTAGTGGTCTTCAAGATAAATCTCCAGTCTGATAACTTACGGAGCTGAGTTGTTAACACTGTGGTTTTATTTTTCTTTTCACAGCCCCCATACTGGGTGGCAGAATTACCACCCTGATGTGCCCCCGATTCCCACTGCTTGTATCTCTGTGGAAGATGCTGAAATGATGTCACGAATGTCTTTCCGGGGAACTAAGATGGTTGTGCACCTGAAAATGGGGGCTAAGACCTACCCAGACTCTCCTTCCTTTAACACTGTGGCAGAGATAGTTGGAAGCAAGTACCCAGAGCAGGTGAGTGAGAATATACAATAAGCAGCTTAGTCTGTTCTTTAAAAATGTGAAAAAAACAAACCCAAAGAAATCCCTCAAATGAGTAAGTCTTAATCACCTATTCATCTACATTTCAGACATCTCGGATTTTCAGTATTTTTTAGGTAGCGGATTTGAAATCTCCAGACTGAGTTCTACCGCTTTTTAAGTAACAAGTAGTAAGTTAAGATTGCCATAATGATTTGTGCTTGTGGTTTGCTTATTGTTCTGTTAATAATCTTCAAGTGGTTTCTTAATCAGGCAAATCAGATTCTGCTGTCCCGAAATAATTTTTTTTACATGAGTTTTTCCTCGAATGTAAAAGTGAATGCAGGATGTCAGTTTAACTTTTTTTGAGAATGTTTTTTCTTGTGCAAATCATTGCTGTGTTTAGCAGAAGTTGTATATGTGTTAGTTTGGAGGAATAAACCATCTACACTAAAAAGTATCTGCAAGTTCTGTTTGAACACTAGTAAATTCTAAGTGGCTGGTTTCCATTTTAATACTTTTCTTCTTGTTTTCTCTTTTTTTTCCAACTTCTTAGCCAAAAATCATACCAACTAAATTTGCAGTGCTGAAGGATTTGTGCCTGGTATGAGGTCTCCTGTGTCAGCTTGCAACATGGAATGATTTTTCTGGCAGTATGGTTTATTGTGAAAATGCTGATGCAACCTCAATTACAGCAGCACTAGAAATTGCTGCTAGAGTACATCTACTGAGCCACCATTCTTTTTTAAACATTGTTGTTTTCTAACTTCAATGAAAAATAAGAATGACTATCTCTGTCCTTTAAACCAGGCATAGCTCTTAAAAGATTTTCTGAGATGGTAGTTATGTAGCTCTGGCTTGTGATGTCAAGAGACCCTCAGTGTTAGCACGAATGTCTGGTTTCAGAAGCTTAATCACTGGGCAGGGAAAAAGCAACTACCCTCAGAGTTGACTGGGTTACAGACCATCACCTATGAGTCTAGCTTCATGAAACATATATTTACCAGGTTAAAGAAAACGCCCCAACTTCTAAATTAGGATACAGTTAATTTGATTTTATGTCATCTGAATTTTTAGCCATGCTTCTGACTAGCTAATAGGCTATCTTCCCTGAATTATGTTTGGTGTATTTCAAAATTCAACATTTCAATTCAGGTTATGAAGTGTCCAAATGTAACCTTCAAAGATGCGTTAAGGTGCTTGCCTGTACTTGATTTTCTCTTTGCTGTCCTGCTCTGTTTCTTTAAGTAGTGAAATGCATTGGGATCTCTTCACTTCTTCCACTGAGAAGCTCAGTTTTTTGAAACACTGGGTAAAGACTTATTTACAAGCCCCCTGCTGATGTTAATGGGAGTGGTAGTGGACACACTTTCAAAATGTAACCAAGAAACAGAAAAATAAAACAAGTGAATGTTTAGGTTTTTTAGTCCTCAGTTCCTCTTGGAGCCTTAATGGGTGCTTCAACATGCTCATTCCACGGCGTTACTCTGGTAAAAATGGGAACCATCTAGCTATTTAGGCAATAAAATACATTGCAGACCCAAACTCTTACAATGCCTTTTATGCCAAAGTGTTTCAAAATGCAGTACAAATCCAGGGGAATAGAAAGGTGCCATTTCCATGCGCCAGAATTTCAATTTAAGTTTTGAATTGAAACAAAAGCAAATCTGGATCTCTGAACTCTGGGTGAGAAATCAGCAGCGGGTGGTATCGCTCTTACAAAGGTCTAAAGCAAAACAGTGTGAAATAAGGCTTAAACCTGTGAAACAACTGGTCACAGGTATTGCAGCAAATTATAACTTAAAAAACTGGAATTTAATTGAAAAAGAGGGTCACTGTAGGATACTGAAGAAATCTGGTGAGAAGTGATACAGTTCTAGATGTAACTGCATGTTAGCAATATTTGTGTTCATCTGTATATTGACCAGAATTTAATATACTGCTTGATTTATAAATAATTCATTAATTCCTCCTGTGAGATTTTAGAATGTTTATTAAAAATAATCACGAAGAACGGAAATAATATTTGTCTGAAAAGTTTATCTGTTTCAAGCAATGTTGCGTATTATTATTATAATCCTTTAAAGAAGAAAAAAATTATTTGTTTTTCTTACCTGTTTTGGGGGGGCTTGGGGGGCTTTATTTGACCACTCCTGTAGCACGTCCAGTTCAGTTCCTCCTTTTTCAGTCATTTTTCCAAGTGTTTTGTGTGGATTCTCGCATATAGCGGGGGGAGGGAGGGAGGGAGTAAAAGTGGAAAAATGTTAAGGAAAACAGGAAAAAAAGTAGTTGAATTTCCTAACAGTTTTTCCTAACATATTTTCCTAACAGTTTGCTGTATTTTAGACTTCATATTCTTAAAGTCTTTTAATACATGCTTTGTTTTGCTGGTGCAAGAAGTGTTTGATATCACCAAAATTGATACTCTGAATTGTCAAAGTTGCAGAGTTCTGTTTAGGCACCTGTGCTTAACTTCAGCACATTTACATTTCTGAACAACTTAAAGCAGTAAAAGAAATGTAATTACTTAAAAAGCATCAAGCTCTCAGGGATGCATTCGTCTTCAGAAGCGATGATGTGACGTGGGTACAGATGTCCTGTTGCTTTTTGAGGCAGCTCTGCACCCAAGGCACGCAGGTACTTTTGAAAACTTAACCCACTGATACTTCAAGTTTCTGTTCTGCTTTATCCTTTCTGTTTGGCCAGACAGAAGCAGTAAGCAAATGCTTTAGCATCAATTGCTTCAACTAAGAAAAATGCACTTTGAAACCCACTGTAAGTTGCAACTTTGCACTGCCAAGTTTTGAGGTGGTGTAGAAAGCATCCGAACAGAAAAAGGAAATGGATTTTGTCATGCTGTCAGTAAAGTTCAGTGTCTCACCAATATCTCTGTTCTGTTTATCTTGCATTATTCCTTCTAAGTTACGGAAGGGCTGCTTTCCCCAGACAGGACTGTTGCTAATGTCAGAGCGGGCATGACATCCACCATCCTCGCTGTCAGTCCCAAGGTCCTCGTTTAGTGCCGGCTGAGGCACTTGTGCCCAAAGGAGGTGAGCCTGTGCCTATAAGAGAATGAGTTCAAGATCAGGCTTTTCTTCGTATAAACAGATTGGAAGGAGTGGGACCAAACATGCTATGACTTGGTGTCCTGGCAGTCTTGTTGAGCTTGGGTTCCCATTCTCACGGTGCTTAGGACAGCAGAGAGAGCGGAAAACCTGTGGGTTGTGAGACAGCATATTTAAGCCTGTATGGCTGCTGACAGTTGAGCCAAAGAGTTTGTGAAATGAGAAAGGTATGGTAGCAGAACCTGCTGAGGTCCAGGCTATTGCAGGTCAGAGATGTTTGCAGTCTGTTCCTAAGTTTTAGCTCGGAGAACACTGTTGAACCCGGGGCTGTGCCATTAGCATTCTTTTGTACTGTATTGTGTATTGGTGAGATGTTTTATTTAAGTTGTGTAAGCTGACACTGGAGACTGACTGACTGAGAAATTCACAAGTTAACTAATGTGGTTTTCATTTGAAATTCAGGCAGAGCTGGCAGTAAAACATGTTAGTCTTCTCGTTTTAGTACAGATGTAACATGATTGGTCTTAAAGTGCAGAAGCAACCGTTCCCGTCTCTGGGGAAATGCTATAAATAGCAGCTGTTTCTTGTTAGTCTGTCTTCAATGTACCTGATGTGCTAAACACAGAACCACAAAATACTTGATTAACTGAAAAGGTATCAAAGTGGATAAAGATATAACTCTTCTATAATCCTGACTTTCAGCGTCTTTCCAAACTGTGTATTGCTTGGTGTGCGGTGATGTTTTACTTATCTCACAGTTACTAAGTGATGGGAAAACTGTTTCCTAAGTGCCCTACAAAGTACATAAATTTAATGGTTGCTCATTATTTTGTGATCTAGCATAAATACTGTAGAGCAGAAACAGAGGAGCTCGTAAGTAGCTTTTTTGGAATCCTGAAGAGCTGTTCCAGGAATTCACTCTACACAGCTTTTTTGCCTCCTGTTTTTATGCAGTGCCATATCTACAAAATGTACCATTTGAAAAGTGACTCTATTTTGAACACCACAGGCATAAAAGACTGTTGAAGAATGTGCTGTCGCTCAGAGCCAAGTTTGGACAGCACTTTGAAAGTAGCAGTCCTAGGAATGACCTGAGAAACAGAGATGCTAAGGTAATAGATTGTGAAGTTCTTTACCAGTCCATGATTGATGTAACAGAACCTGTTCGACAGAAGAAATAGCAGCTTATTTACTTTTTCATTCTTCTTCCTTTCCCTATTTCAAAAATCAGCCTTCCTTCGGAATTTGTGATACTGGGCAAAGCTCCAGGGAACAAGAGAACATTAAAATTGTCCAGGCTTCTGAGCCTGTTAGGCATTCATGCACATAAGGGAAGAAATAATTTGTAGACCAATAAAAAAAAAAATCCCCAACCCCAGGAAAAAAAAGACTTCTCTGAAGATGTGTAATACTCAGTACAATGTTGTTTTATGGCCTGGCATCAGTTCTACATATGTTAACAAAATGTCTATCCATTAGCCCTTTGATGTGGCTTCCAGATATCCCTATGCTCAGACTAAATCATGCATACAATAGAGCTTTGAGTAGAAATGTTTTAAGAGTCTGGTGCCATCACGTTATGGCTCCATTATCACATTTTCTCCATGTGGATTGCTTTGCTATTCATTCCAAAATGTTGAAGGGTTTGTAATTGCACTTCTGTGAGCCTCTTTTCTGTGACTGTAAGCTGATGCCTGTCGCTGCTAGAATTTAAGAGAATTTAAAAGAATTTAAGAGATGATTATGGAGATTGGGTTTTGAGAGTGCCAACCCATTACTTCACGATAGCAAACTAATGGGAAAGAAAAAGAAAAGAAATGGTGAAAAAGAGAGAAGAGAAAGGGTGAAGAAGGAACACTGGCATTATTAGGAAATGTATTTTCTTTGAAGTTTTTGTATCAATATTTGCTGGAAGAAGTAGTACCCTCT